GATGCCACACCGGCTTCAAGGCTTTAGACCTCATGTGAAGGTCAACCCCAAACCAGGACACAAACAAGTAAAATCATCTTTCTGTCTGGCCTGCGTCTCAGCACCTTATCCGACTCACGCGTGGCGGAGATCCCCATCAGCACGTACCTGTTCTCTTTCTCCCACCAGTCAATATGCAGGGAAGTTCTGGCACACTCACTGCCCCATCCCAGGACCCCGGAAAGGTATTTGCACCAAAAGTGCTCAGTGAGCAGAGAGCAGATGAGCAATGACTAAGTGATGCTTTGTGAGACTTTTGTTTCTAGCCCGGAGTTTGAGGTTCAGACTTCTTTGTTGCTAGCTGTGGTCAGTCGCCACCCCAGGTAATGAAAATTGACAAGAAAATCCATGCTCATAATCCACACAGCGTTTATTTTGTAGAAGGCGTGGGTTTCTTAAGGAGCTCGTTCTATCCCAGATGAACTGGCTGTGGTGTCCTTCAAAAGGCCACTGGAGGACATTTGTCTTCTGGACTTGATACCTGCGGCCAGTGGAAGTGTCTGGCAGGAGCAGGCCGGGGACTTGGGGCTGGGGGTGAGTAGCCTGTAGACTGCTCAGCCCTGCCAAGAGACTCTTACCCCTGTGGATTACTGGCTACTCTCAACATGTCTGATCAATAAGAGTCATAACCTCATAAAACCTGTCATCTGACAATATCAGGCAACAGCACAGTCTCTGTAGCTTATGGTCCGGACAGTCCATACCAGGTGCTGCCATTTATTGTGGCCCTACTGTGGGCCAGGCCTTGTTCTGGGTGCTGTACACACATCTCCGTGGTCTTCACAGAGCCTGACATGGTAGCTATTGTTTCTACTTCACAGAAACACCCCGAGCCTCAGCTTCCTCACCGTGCCCTGCAAAGGGCCTGGGTTAAGGACTGTAGTGTCTCAAGGCAAGAGAAAGCCAGGTGTGCTGGTACACACCTCAATCCCAGCACTCTGGGAGGCTCAGGCAAGAAGACAGCAAGTTGGAGCCCAGCCTGGGCAATTTAGCAAACCCTTGTCTCAAAATAAAAAAAAAATTTAAAAAGGATTGGGGATAGAGGTCAGTGCAAAGGCCCTAGGTTCAACCCCTAGTACCACAAACAAACAAGTAAAGGAGAAGTGGAACTCGGGACAGCACAAGCTACTTCAGGCAGGAGGACCTGCTGCAGCCGCCCCCCACGCTCCGCCCAAGCGTGTTGCTCATTGGCCGCAGCGTTCTCCTTCCTGCTCTGCTGTGTAACCCTTCCCTTCACAGTGCTCCAGGCAGACTCCACCAGACATTCCAGGTGGCAAATGAGACAGCCTATTTGTCACACATGCTTTAAACTGTATGTGAAGGGTTTTGCCCTAAGGCCTAGGTTTAGAATCCTGGATTCAGAGTGTCACACTGTAGCCAGCTGACTTTGAGCACAGTGCTTATCTCTGCTGATCTGTTTATTTACCAGCAGAAGGAGGACCATCCCCTGCCTCTGTGCCTCAGAAGTCACCATCTAAGCTGGGCATGATGGTATGCATCTGAGTCCAGGCTACTATGCAGGCTGAGGCAGGAGGATCACTTGAGCCCATGATTCAAGGCCAGCCTGGGCAACATAGTGAGACCTCAAAACAGAAAAAAAAAAAAAAAGAATAAGATAGATGTGTTTCTGTCTTTTTGAGACAGGGTCTCGCTATGCAGTTCAGGCTGGCCTTGCACTCACTTTGTAGCCCAGGCTGGTCTCGAACTCGCAATGATCCTCCTGCCTCAGCCTCCCAAGTGCTGGGATTACAGCCGTGTGCTACCATGCCCGGCTAGATGTGCTGGGTTAACTAATGGTCAATTTATAACCCCCAGCGGAACTGAATCAGCGTGGTGCTGGGTGAGGAAGGCCCACCTGAGGACTGTTGCCAACAGCATAAAAGGAGAACTGGAGGGGAATACGGTGTGCTGTTGGCTCTCCTGGAGAAGCTTGTCATGCCGGTTTTCCTGATATGAACTTGGCTGTTATTGTCAGAAGAGCTCGGGCCCTCCCTGTTGCTGGGGATGGCTGCGGTTCTTTCCGGGGGAGCTGTGGTCCTTGGCTGCAGTGCAGGCCCCTCAGCGGGCTGGCACAGATCCTGCATCCCGCTGGCACAGGCTTTCTAGCTTCCACCACTGACCTTGGGGCCTTCCCGGTGCAGATCCTTGGTACAGATGCATGAGACATTGTCGCGGGCCCCAGGCCCTCAGCTGGATTCTTTGGGTCTCTAGTGTGTGGACAGTTCTCCTGCACTCTTTTGCATTTGGCTTTTGGGGTGATTACTATAAAATAATCCTATTAATTATATGCCCTGTGTTAAATCAGTTCCCTTTGTATACGCTGATGACAATAGGTATAAATATGAGACCATAACTTGGTTTCACTGACATCATAGTGCTGTTTTCAATTGTACCTAAACAACCAATCAACAAGGGCCAGATCCCTGTGCTAACAGGAAACACCCTGAGACATGGCACCTCCTGTTAGGGTGGGTCTTCTCTGCCTCCTCCTTTACCCTCCTTGCACCCTCCCCCCTCCCCTTTGCACTCTCTCTCCCTCTCTCTCTTTCTTTTTTGAGACAGGGTCCCGCTTTGTAATTCAAGCTGGTCTTGAACTCACTATGTAGCTCAAGCTAACCTTAAACTTACAGCAATCCTCCTGCCTCAGACTCCCGAGTGCTGGGATTACAGGCCTGCACCACCATGCCCAGCTCCCTTTCTCTTGTTTAAGCAAAAGTCTCCCTTTTACTTTCATGCTATCTTTTTGTGTTTTTAGATTCTACTTATGAGGGAAAACATCCCTACTAGACTTTCTGAGTCTGGTTTATTTCACTTAACATGATGATCTCCAGTTCCATACATTTTTTTTTTTTTTGGCAAATGGCATAATTTTGTTCTTTATGGCTGAATAAAAACCACTGTGTATATACACCACATCTTCCTTATCCGTTCACCCACTGATGGGCACCTAGGCTGATCCTGTAACTTGGCTATTGTGAGTTGTGCCACAGTAAACGCTGGCATTCGGGCATCCCTGTCGACTACCTTCCTTTGGGTAAATGCCAAGGGAGGTATAGCTGGCTCATCCGCATCTTTTCAAGGCTCCTCTGAAAGACCCCAAATGGCCTGTCTGACGTCCTAAGTATCATGCAGCGACCTCTTTCATGCAGATGCCAGGGCACCATCCTGGAGCGGCTGGCTGGGTGTCGGAGTGGCCCCTGGCATCGGCACCTCCAACCCTTCCTCAGGTGGTTCTCAGGTACCCTACACCGCTGCTTCAGAATCTAGAACTCCAGTGCTCTGAGTAGAACCGTGTTCACTGTTGGGATTTTAAATACCTAGGAGCCTATGTGAAAGGAGGCCCCGGCCCCAGCCCGTCTTCATCTGGCGAACCTTCCTCAAGCTTCAGGCCTGTGCAGATGGCTCTTCCCCTGAGAAAACCTCCATCGCTGCGGCTCTGGTCTTCAGCCCACACTCAGAACACCTACTGTGTCCCAGGCAGTCTGCCAGGCTCTGAAATGTGCTACTGGGTTCAGTCTCTCTGAGAATAAACCAAGTTGCTGTCACCCCCGCAGCCAGCCCACTTTGGAGTTCAGAAGAAAGTGTGACTCAGAGAAGTGAATCAACTTTCCCTAAGTCGTTGGGCTCTTACTGCATTGTAGGTCATCGTGCTCGGTCTGTGTCTCTCACATGAGTGAGAATCCCTTCATTGTGGGAGTAGCTGAGCTTCACATTTCTAGGGGCACAGAGCCAGGTACATAATAGTTGTTCAACAAAGCTGAGTTGAATTGAAGTGAATATGAACAGTTCCAGTTGCTTTCCAATCTCTACTTTTGCTCACGGTAGGACAATAGGAGGATTTCTTTGGACGTTGAAGACTACATATCCCTCAGCTTTCCCATCATTTCTGCAATTCTGGTCATTCGCTAGCTTTCTTCCAAGTAGCGTCAGTAGATTTTGCAAGTCACAGGCTAGGGAGGGACTCCAGAAACTCTTGCTTGGTTGGTTGAGACGGTGATACAGAAGGGATGAACTTTATGCTTTATAGTGAGAGTTTCTTTTCTGCTTATAAGGAGTAAAAATAATTTTCTACATCTAACTTGGCAAGCTGCCGTAGTCGTAAGTTTACAAATTAATTTCAAATATAATTATCTCTATTTCAGTGACTTTTCTGAATCGCAGTTTTTATGGCCATAAAATAGGAATCTTGGAGCAGATGTCTAAGGTTCTTTCCTATACTGTGGTTATATTATTACACCAGGACCCTGAACGAAGTTGAGAACAAATTTAAATCCCTCAGGAACAAAGCAGCTATGAAAATGGAATGTTTTCGGGTGAATGAGATTTTTTGCCCCAGTCTAATTGATTTTTCCAAATTAGTCAAAGTCTGACCATGGTGTCTAAATTTCTTTTTTTTTTAACAGACATTATTTTATTACTTACAAAACATACAGTAATAACAGATATTATTTTATTACTTACAAAATATACTGTAATAACAAAAGTACAGGGGGAGACAAGAGGGTTAAAGGACAACAAAGGACCTGTGACACCAGCGTACCCATCCTAGGGGATCCGTTTAGAACAGAACAGTTCTGTTACAGTTCGGTAAGGTTAAGGTTAGGTAGGCCACTGTTTAAATGCCAGTTACTCAGAAATACACCTCAACCCAAAGCAAACAAGTACTGGCAGTGTGTCTGAATGTGCCCTGTTACATTACCGCATGGCGTCTAAATTTCTAAATGCTCTGTGGAGGCATTTTTAGAAAAAGGATATGTGAAAAGTGACTGTAACAGCATGAATAATAGTGCAAACCGTGTACCCTAAGGTTTAATAGCTTCCCGTAATTCACTCACATAGCTGGGCCAAAGCTTTGGGGCAGCACGGGGGAGACGGTGGGTCTGCACATGCTGTTTGCTTGCTTGTTTGCTTTCCTTAACCAAAGCCGTAACCTCTGTTTACATCTGTACTTTGTTTTGCAGCGGAAACGGAAGCAGAGCACCCAAGATGAAGACGCTGCCAGCCTTTGCAGTCTCGATATAAGTGTAAGTGATGGTCTCTGTACCCCCACATGAGGCCGTCTCTCTTCTCTGAATATTGATAAAATGCTGTGTACTTTAAGCGGGCTTCCAGAATCGGACGGTGCTGGTGACATGGAGGGATGGTAAAAAAAACTGAGCAACTACTTCGGTGATAACAGTATGCAATATAACAACCTTGGTTCGTTTCCTGTCATCTCGTTTTGAAACGTCGTATCATTGCTTTTATTGGGTTTTTTTTTCCTCTTTAAAAAAATTTTTTTTTATTTTACTGGAAAAAGCTGTGTAGCCGATTTAAACTTTCAAGACAACTTGTCTATTGCCTCGGTCTTTTCTTGCATAAAATAAATGATGAATTTAATGCATCTGGGTAGAATCTGGATAAACCCTGCTGTGCTGTTTTAGGGGGTGGTTCAAGAAGACAATTATTTGACCCCCTGGAGGGGGAAGTTAGTGGCTTGGCCGACTCGGGCAGCCGGATGGCCCAAAGGCTGGGAGGGGATTCCAGCACCAGGTGGATTTGGATTTAGTGGATGTGAGTTTGAATCAAGATTCTGTGCTTATTACTTGTGTGGCATGTTTCCTCTCCTGAATAATAAGAATGAAGAGGCTTTACCTACCCCAAATTTTCGATCAAATAAAACAGTAAAGGTGAGAATAGCAAGTATATTACCTGGAACATACTAGGTACCCATCAAACATTAGCCTTGTTTTTCTGTAAAAGCAGAAGTTTGCAAAAGAAAGTGAAATGATTTGGTAGCTGGATACTAGTGATGATGGAGATAGGCCATTTCTTTGGTGTTTTAGCTCTTTTCTTTTCTTTTTTTCTTTTGGTACCAGGAATCAAACTCAGGACCTTGCACTTGCCCGGCAGGTGTTTGTGCCGCTGAGCTAAATCCCCGGCCCTCCTTGGGGTTTTTAGGCCACGTTGTTGGTTGCCTATTTGTAGCAGATTTCTGTGCATGGACTCACCTCCCCCTGGTGTAATTGGGGAGCCCCCTGCGTTGCCTCTGATCGCCGCATTATCCAGGGCCTGAGGCTGGGGTGGAGGTTCAGCTCCTCCCTGTGCTCCTCCTGTCCCCTTATCTGTGCATTTTATACACCTCCTTGGGGCTTAGCTACTGTGCACTGGGGCCCAGCTAACATTAGGCTTTAGTGTCTGTCCTCTACAAAGGCCATGAGAGCTACCATTATGTGATGGGACGGCTTCCATGCTAATTAAGAACTGAGTTGTGGTCTTGGGTCTACCTATAACTAACAAGATAGCCACTTCTCTTCCGCTTACTTCAGTTTCTCCTTAAAAAAAAAAAAAGGCTAAAGATCAGGTCTTATAAAACTATTATGTGTCAGGTATGGTGCTGCTTGCCTATAATCCCTGCACTGGAGAGGCTGAGGCAGGAGGATCACCACAAGCCTGAGGGTAGCCTGAACTACATGGTGAGACCCAGTTCCAAACTTAAAAAAAAACACAAAAAACTATTGTGAAAATTTGAAACTCAATAAATATGTATTATTAGGTTCTCATGTGATGACATTTATTGAGCAGTATACACAAGGCGATTTTAGCTATTGTTAGTTATTGCAGTTTTCTGCAATGCAGTCAGTCATGATGGAGTGCGTCTGAGCTGGCATCTGACTGATGTACTTGAGCATCTTTATTCACCATGTGCTGTTTATCTGTTCCAGTCTTGGGACCATTTGATTGATGAAGTTGGTTCAGTTTGCTAGATTGCCATGGTAACAGGACAAAAGGGTGGTATTCTTCTGAGTGTTACTTTACTCACTGGATATTTTATTATTGACAAGTGAAGCCATGGGACTTCCCTCATCGGCAGCGAGAGTTTTTGTGTTTGTACTTTTTTAATTCTGTGGAATGTACCTTTGGAACTTACAGGCTTTCAGGATTTGAAGACCTCTCGGCCATCCTACATTCCAACCCCTCACTTCACAAATGAAAAAGCAGAAGCCCAGGAAGGTGTACTAAGCAGGCAAGACTTTAACCCAAGTCATTCCGAAGATCACGTCTCAGCATACGGCTTTCTTCAGCGAGACACTGATATTTATTTTTCAGGAAGGCATGCTCTGATGCTTCTTAGCAAAGAACCACTAAACTCTCTGACATGAAAGACTTACTTGGAGTTCTTGCCTTCTTATCAAGGTTGTTTGAACCTCAGATAATGAATCATTCTTAATGAATTTTTTCTTCTTGTGCAGCTGCAGTTGATGTTTCTCTTTTTCTTAACTATCTCATACATCACATTTTAGTACAGTAATGAGAATTTTATAGAAATCTATCCTGTTACCACCAACAGGGCTATGCTTAAGGATTCAACTGTAGCCTAAGTAATTCTGCTTTTTATTGTGTTTTGTGTTTTTTGAGGCAAGATCTCACTGTGTAGTTGAGACTGGCCTTGAACTCACTTTGTAGCCCAAGCAGGCCTTGAGCTTGCAGTGATCCTCCCGCCTCAGCCTCCCAAGTACAGGGATTACGTGTGCGAGCCACCACACCTGGCCTAACCAGTATTATTGCAGAGATTTTAGATTTCGGCGGCACTGGGGATTTGGTGGCACCCACGGCCTTGTGCATCCTGGTAGAGCAGGTGCCCTACTGCTGAGCTATAGTCCCGGCCCAGAAATTGTTTGTTGCCGTGTTAAGATGGATCTTGCTGTTTCGTCCAAGCTGACCTCAGAATCTTGGGCTCAAGTGGTGCTCCTTCCTTCGTCTCCTGAGGAGCCGGGCCTGCAGGCACATGGCCTCCCTTGGCTGGGGAGCTGCTCTGCGCTGCTGCGTGCGTAGTGGAAGTGTCTGCGAGCAGCAGTGGGCTCCGGTGGGTGACTCATGCCGCAGGATGTGCGGGTTTAGGAGAGCAGTGTTGGGGACGCTGCACTTCGATTCCGTTTAGTAAGCGGAAAGACAGTGAGCACAGGCGTGCTGCACACAGGAGGTGGTAGCGGAGGGCCACGGTCTCTCGGGAGTCCCAGCCCTGTGCTGGGTACACAGGGGCTCCTGAGAAATACTTACAGTCGAATGTTTTCAAATGGTGAGTGTCTCTAATGTTTCCCCCCGAAATATATTTTGACATTAAACGGATGGAAAATGTTAGCAGGATGAACCCTCTTCTGGATTAAAAGCTAATTGCTGTGTTGCACCCTGCAGAGCGGTGGTCACATCAGGCACTGCCCTGCCGTCCCGCGTCCTTTAAAAGCCTCACCTGACGATGCTGATAGTTGTCGAGAGGGGAGTTTTCTCCTAAATCTCCCTCCTACCGCTGATGAACTTGGGATTAAAAGACCGAATGAGAGTGGCTCAGCTAGGAAAAGCCAGTTCTTACAAAACAGGGATCCTTGGTTGTGTGGGGTGGGATAGCCTTGGGCTCCAAAACATTTTACAAGACTCCCGTGTGGTTCCCGGGCATCCATGGAGCTGGCCAAGCCCCCACGTTACAGAGGCACCTGGACGGGGCTTGGAGCCCAGGGAGAGCTGACATAGCTCCAAAGACTTGTTTTCCCGCCCTCCCCCGCCAGTACTCGGTGAAAAGCGGATTAGGGCTGGAGAGTAGCACTAGCTGACAGAATAATGGGTCTCTATTTTTTCCACCACTTCACCCGGCCCATCGGCTGAGCCCCCGGCTTCCGAGCAGAAGAGAAAACGAACTATTCCTGATCGGGAGAAAAGGGCGACACGCAGTTTTGAGAACAATTTGCAGAGCGAAGAAGGCTCCCAGCGGCCGCCTACCAATCTCCCCTTGCGTCACAGGATACCGTGGGTTGGGATATCGCCGTCCCCACTGCGCTTTCTAGTTTAAATTCTAAGCGTGAGCGCCGCGGGGGGCGGCGGGGGCGGCGCGCAGCTCTCCTCGCGCCCTAGCAGGGCCCGCGCAGCGCAGTGCAAGCGGCCCGTCTCTCAGAGCAAGCAGGCTCTCCCCTGGACAGAGACGTAGTTTCCAGTGAGGAAGGGATGTAAAAGATGCGAAGAAATATATAATCTTTGTAGACAATTTGGGAAATGTGATCGGCAGAGTTTGACTGCCCACCTACGTTTTAATGTATATTTCCTTCCAGCGCGGATCCATCCCTCTTCAAAACGTTTTCATTACGAAATATTTCAGATGTCCAAAATAGTATAAAGGGATTCTAGAGCCCCGGGCGGCTACCGGCCCACTGAGGCGAGATTTCCTTAGCAGCAAAGCCGAAGGCTGTTGTAAACCTTTCGCTCAGCCGAGTTAGGTGTTACTGCGCCTTCGCTGTCGGTAAACTCTGCTGTGTCCACGCGTCCCTAAGCAGCGTGTGTATTTTAAACCAGCTTGTAAGGTTGATATAAGCACATACGACTTTTCAAAATTGAGATCATAGCACAAATTAATGTATTCCTGTGCTTTTCGCTCGCTGTGTCGAGAACATGTTGCCGTACCCTGAAATAGCCTTCAAGAAGATTATTTTTAATACATACAGAGCGCTCTGTCAGATGAGCACACCCAATGTACTCAGCCCGTCCTTTTTTGGGAAGTTAGCTCAGTTCTGACTCCTCAGCATTATAAATAGCACTAGTGGGCACCCGAGAATATCACTGGGTGATCTCTTTTATGAGTAGGAGAAAGTCTGAGATATGAAATTCCTGGCTAAAAGGCCAGTGCATAGTTTTTAAACTTTTTTTTTTTTTTTTTTTTCTCTTTTATGAGTAGGAGAAAGTCTGAGATATGAAATTCCTGGCTAAAAGGCCAGTGCATAGTTTTTAAACTTTTTTTTTTTTTTTTTTCTCGTGCTGAGAATTGAACTCAGGACCTTGCACTTGCCAGGCAGGCGCTTGTGCCGCTGAGCTACATCCCCGGCCCGTTTTTAAACTTGTGAACAGGTCTATACCCCCTCTGGCAGGGAGAGATGGAAGTGAAGTTTAGGGCCGCTGAGTGTCGGTACAGAACCTCGCAAGAATGGGAGGGCGTTTCCATGTTTCGCTGGTGCATGTTTTGACCCACTCCTTTAGCCTTGCCGTACAGGACATTCTGTGC